ACCCTCTCACTTCTAAACTAGGGGCAAGAAACAACTATACTTTTAATAACGCAAGTCAGTGTACAAACAAAAGAATCAAATCTCATATGCTAAAGAAAAATTTCAGCAGTGAGAATAAACACAATTGGAAAACTTAAGTAGTTACCAATACTTCAGGGAGATGGAAGTATTTTATAAAATACATCAAATTAATTTGAGAAAGCCTTAAAAAAAAAAAAAAAGCCCATCTATATGTGACCAAGGAGGATATTGGATTAAGTTCACAGGCTCTGGGTATGAATTCTCATCCCTCTGCTTTACCAGGTGTGTAACTATTAGGACTCATTTAAACACTCTATGTCTCAGATTTCCTCAATTGAGAATGGGATACAAACTATATACTGCTTAGGGTGACAGACTTGCTCATGATACATCAAAGTAAATAAAAATTATTACTATTTCAAATATGAAAGCATATCATTCTTATTACTACATAAGAAATAGGATGCCCGTCACACAGCAGACTGTCAATACATATTTTTGAATAAGTATGTGAATATGTGAATAAATTTCATAGGGTTAGACTCTCACATGAAGTACAAAATATGAATATTGATGTCAGATATTAAGACAAGTGATTACTAATGTTTATTTAAAATTTTTCAGAAATGTCATTTTAGTCTAAAAATTATAAAACAATAATGCAAAGTGCAGTTTAAAATACACATAGCATAACGGATAGGGAATTTTTTTTTTAAAGATTTTACTTATTTATTCATGACAGACATAGAGACAGAGAGTCAGAGATAGGCAGGGGGAGAAGCAGGCTCCATGCAGGGAGCCTGATGTGGGACTCAAACCTGGGACTCCAGGATCACACCCTGGGCCGAAGGCAGGCATTAAATTGCTGAGCCACCCAGGGATCCCCCTGATAGGGAATTTTTAAACTGCTGCTCCGATGGTATGCATCACATAGACTGGAAATCAACTGACCACAGAGGTTTATTTAACGTTTATGGCAATGACTGTCAAGTTTCATATAATCAGTATTATTAAATGGTAAGCATCAGGAGGGCGGGCAGGATGGTTTACTTATTTTGCCAATACCTAATAAAAAATCTGACATATATTAGATCCTTAGATGCTGTCAAGGAAAAGGAAAAACGATGCTACTCAATATGACTTCTAAATGGAACGTTCAAACCTAAATATATCTTATATATATTTTGCCACTTGAAAATAAAAATGACAATTCCCACTCACTCCATGTGGGACTTGAGCTTGGAGCTTAAATAGAAGTAGAAAGTGACCCACTGCCTTAACAATGTGAGAGTTATGATGCGTGAGTATGTGAGTGTGTGCCTGTATGATAGAGAAGGGGTGGGGAAAAATGTACATATCAGATTAAAATTTCTCAGGAATATATGACCTGAACATTTTTAGAAGAAACATTTTAGGCTGAAAGAAGTAATAACTGACCTTTTACTTATGGTAGTTTTAACAAAATGAATCTATCCTTATACTGAGTGTTTATATATTTATCCAGTTCTTAAGTTAAATTTCTAAAACTTCAGGGAAAACTAAAATGAAAATGAAATGCCTTATTATAAATCAAAATGTTTATTTAACTACCCTTTTACCTTCTGAATCCATACTCTCAATGTTCTCATGACCACAGGCTTTCTTGTCCCCAAGCCTGATTTATTCTCTCCTCCTTACTTGCAGTTCAAAATACAACGCCCACCTTATCCAACCACATCCACTGAAAAAAGGGAGAGTAACAAAGTGACCAACTTCAGATCCATAAGGAGCTAAGTGTTTGTGTCTTGACAGGTTTTTACAAAAATAAACATGTGGTACAAAAACTTAATAGATGGATGTCAATCTATTTGGGCAAATTCATGATTTAGCAAAGCAGTAACAAATAAAGGCGTAGTTATAAATCAAACCACATGCAATCTTATAAGAAGAGTTTCTCATCTGGAGAAAACCTTGCAAATATTATCAGACATTACAGCAAGACAACATAAGCATTCATTTTAAAATTAACACACTCTAAAATTTATCATTCGGAAAGGACTTTTGAGTCGGTCACTAACCAGCAGTTTGACAAACTCTAGGGCCACTGGCTCCTTCATTTGTCCAAGGCGGAATCTGGGTAGGATAACACCTAGTTCTAAGATTCCAAAGACATCTGCCTAGCAAGTGTGGGGCAATCCTCCAAAGAGCACTAAGGCAGAGCTTGTCAGATACCCCAGGTGAATTCCTGCTGGATTCTCACTGGTATTCCCTCCTAGCCTCTACCTCTGTAAAGGGAGCTGAGCAGGGTCTGTAGGGTGGACTTTCTGCTCAGCCAAACCATGAGGGATCCTACACCTCTACTTGCTACTGAGGTATTTTATCATATTAAATAGAATTCTTAAAGTACAGCAAAATGTGTATGCTAGATTGTATGCTCAATTTTCTCAAGTAAATAAATCAAAATCCCATAGAGGGGTAAATAGGTATTAACACTTAGCATTTCTTGATGTTGGTTCCATTTTGTATAAGACTGAGGCAATATTTTTTTGCTAGGCATTTTCACAAAGCCATCTTCATCACTATCTCTCAACCACAGGGGAAAGAAAGAGTAGTTCTGCCAAGCTTCGCATATATTTTGGGATTAGGCCTTACAGAGCCTGGATTTCTCTTCTTTAACTAATGACTTATGACAGAAAAGAAAATAAAGAGCAAACGGAAAATAGTTCATTATTAAAACATTCTGAATGGAGTATCAAGATTCATGGACTCATTCTAGAGAAAGAAATAAAAGATGACACAGTGGAGTATAAAATAACTCACTCATTTAAAAGAAGAGGTTGTATTTTTTCATAATATTAAACATTAAATTAATTTCAAATATTTGTTACCGCTGGTAAACTACGCATGTTTTTTTTTTCAAGATATTTTTAAAGAAAGGACAACTGTAATTACAACTGATGTTGAAGCTATAGCCTAGTTTCGCCACTCAATGATTACGGCAAGATCTCCAGCTAACACACAGATGCACGTTCCTCCAAAGGACTCTCTATAGAAACTCACCAATGTAGGACTCTAAAACCAAGCCCCGAATTTCATTTTGTCATTCTGTTTAATGTTATAATTGTCTGTATTCAATTCATTTCCCATGATAACATTAAGTAAACTCACAATTATATTTATAAGCTATAGTGAGGTAGAGTTTACTGGCTGAATGTTGAGGTCATTTAACAATTAATTCTCACTGCTTCTATCAGCAAATACTCATACTAGCATCTTCTTCTCCAGCTCACAGTAAATGCCTTAAATCTTTGCCTGAATTTACTTCCAATATCAACGGGACATTTAGCACCGTGTAGATACATGGCATTCCTGTACGAGGTGTTTATGCATATTTTAACTAGGAGTTAAAAAAAAAAGTTTATTTCTAGGACATTTCAAATTTTCAAACGCTAGTAACAAAGTGACATATTATCTGGAGTTGTCTGCAAAACCCAAAGTCCCAGATGTAAGAGTCACCTGCTTCATTATATCATCCTATTGATTTAACTGTGTTTAATTAATTTAAATTACTTTTATTCGATGGTTATAAATTCACATCCTCTCTACTCCAAGGGTGAGAGAAGGAAGATAGAAGGAAATAAGCTAAAATAACAAAAAGAGTTTGCCCTGCATTCTAAGAAACTGATACTTGCAATATAGAAAATATTTTTTCTATGGCTACAGTTAATCTTAAAAGAATACAGAAAGCCATAATTAACTATAAACTCAATTCATTTGCTCTATTCCTACAACAAATATCAAAGTAAAGCTGAAGGACTGTAACCTGAGATGTATGGAGTTTCCATAAAACAGTAGCACAAAAGCCCACAAGCTCCCTACCAAAGGTACCAGTACCCTCACGAGCATCACACTAGAAATACATTCTGAGAATATCTCAACTGCAGAAATGTTTATAGCAGAATCATATGGTTTACGCTCAAGTGACTGACAGAGTAACATTCAGAATTACGTTTTGAACTTAAAAAAGAAGAACTTCAAAATGGGGTAAAAATCTAGTTAGATCATACTTGAATTATACTGTATCATGGGATGACCTCACATTGGGTTTGACACTGAGGGATGGCATTCTAACACAATTACGTAGTGACTACACAAGCAGCCCATTAAGAGCAGGTTCACAGCATCCTTTTTTATGTGAAATCAGCTGAGCATTATCAAAAATGATGTTGGTTTTAAATTTAGAAACAGGGCAGTCTCTACCTAGAGTTTTAGTTACGCTTCACCAAAATTCATTGTAAAATATCAAATGCGATAATAATAAATATTTGTCTCATTTCAAGAATCTCTGATGATATGATAGGAATCTCAGAGGAAAGGAAAAGATTCCACCAAAAAAAAAAAAAAAAAAAAAAAACCCCCAAAAAAAAAAAACAAAAAAGGTAAACCAATGCCACAAAACTGGTGACAAAATCCCAGTAAACAACTACTCAACCTCTGGTTACAGGGAAGAAACTTCTTATTTTTATAATTGTTTATACTAAATACTCTTTTTCTCCCCCTTTTTGTAATGAACAAAATATCCCCAAACCGTACTTTTATTTAGGTAGCACGGTAAAGTTTTACATTAATACTTACACTGCCATTCCCCCTCACCAAAGGTTCTTGGAAGTTATACCACCTTTACTCTTTCTTAAGTAAGGATACTCAGGAGAATGTAGCTTCCATGCTCAGAGCACTCAGAAAAGGAATCTAAAAACAAGCTAGCACACTCTTCAGCTGAGCTGCTTTTCCTTCATTCTTTTCCCCAAGGGAGAAAAAGTGTAAAGGCTCTGTTCAGAATAAATCAAGCATCCTGTTTAAAGTCACCAGTGGTCAAGTCACTTTGCAATTTTGACAGTCCTGCTTCAGATACCAGTTGCTCTAGACTATGGGGCCCCATCAAACCTCAAATCAAGGCTCCCCACGATGGCTTATTATTTATTACATGCTATGCTAAGTACCTGTGAAAGGGGGCACTCCTTGGCCAACGAACTCTGATTCATATCTTTCAGTAAGTCCTTCAGAGCATTCCTTACTGTGGTGTGCGACCATTGTTCGGGAGGCAAGTCTTCTAGTTTGGGGCAACTATTTGAGACATAGATTAGAAAGGGGATTATTACAAGATTGCATCCCGCTGCAGAACATTCCTTTAAGACAGACAGATTTCATTTTGCGCATCAAACAGATGCATCTGGAGATTGCTCTCGGTCTCCTGATTGTTCCGATTAGTTAATTACTTTATACAACACATCTGCTGTATCGATGCATGAATTATACATCAGCTGCCTGTGGTGGCTATTTTTTCATGTTACTTCTACCTTCCTGCTCTGATGCGCTTGGGAAGACAATTTAAGGTGTACTGCTTTCTCATGAGCCATCGTGAAAAGCATTAACGTATTAACCGTTTTCCTTTCATGACTCTGTTCATACGAATTAAAATGGTAAAAAATATATATATATATAAATAAATAAGATCGCGGTAATAGTGAATAAGGCATTCTTTCACAAAATGTACACAGATGGCACTGTTCATGATATGCAAAAATATTTTTCTCTTAAGTAAACTTTATGTAAAATGCCTTCTTGTAATGCATCATTTAATTGACTAAATATAAAAAGTCTTGTCTTTTGATATCCTGCATAAAACCTACAAATTCGGGGGTGGGGGGGGTGGGAAAGCTGCTTTTAAATATACATTGAATTCAGGAAAATAAAGCAGAGGGGGTAAAGTAATAAAATCAATTTGGATTAACCCTTCTGAAACATAGAGTAAATAAAAATCAAAGGTTGACCAGAGATGCTTTATTTCAAGAGATCAGGCACATAGAACCTTTTGCCTTAGAACTGCTGTCCTGACTCACCTGTGTAACTGAATTTTCAATGTGACCACATGATACACGTCTTGAAGCATATCTGCTACCGTAGCATCAGGGGCATCTGTCACATAAGACAGTGGAACTGGATTCCACTTTCCAACCTGGATTAGGCCTATTGCAGATAAAGAGAATATGTCACTAAATATTTTACCTTTCAGATAATATTTCTAGTAGAAGGTTGTTGTTGTCGTCGTTGTTGTTTTTCATTGCCCCCACCACAAGCAATATTGTTATTTCTGTTTGAATGATTCCCTTCCCTCTAAAAGGCAGGTCAATGAAAATATTCACAGCTTAGCTTTCCAAATTGTGAAATTATGTAAATGACTGTAGGGTTGTTTATTATTTTGGAAATAAAACCCCATCAATAAAACCTATGCATAGGCCACATTTTCCTAACTTACAGGAAGTTCTAATAAGACATAGCTGAACCAGTTCTAAATGGCTTTACGATTTAGATAAGATTCTCTATTGCAATGGGAATCAGCATTGAAAAATACTTTACAGCCCATAAAACCATCAGAAACAGAATAAAAGAAACAGAACTAGATATTCAGTCATAAATGCAAATTGACTCTCAACAGTCCATCTGCTCAAATACGCTCCTCACTTCCTTGTGGGTCCTCAGTGGAGCAGATTATTAAGGTCAATAAGCATACTAATGATTCAGCTGAAGTAATTTAAAAAAAAAATCTACCTCGACATTCCACACGAGCAAAATGTGTGTTAACTAAACCAAACTGAATTAAGCCAATTTTTTAAACCCACAGTCTATAAGGAACCAATGTAACACACAGGCTACAGTTCTTTGAATAAAAATATTCAGTGCTTTCTCTGCAGAGTAAACAAAGGATGCCAAGCAATTTTTCCAACCCCACGTATGCATTATTTACCTTTGGCCTGGGCAGCAGAGCTATGTGAATAACCCAGAGACAGTAATGCCATTTCTATCAGCTGGTTGAAAAGCATATCCTTTCTCACCAACACAAATTCCGCATGCTCCTCCTTGCAATCATATTCAATGGCGTTTTCATAATGTTCCACCACGCAGAAAACTGGTAGCATGGTTCCTATCAAAGAGACAGAGAAAAAGAAACGCAAACCAACAATCTTCAGAAATACAATCTGGGGGGAGGAAAAACTAAACCATGAAAATAAATCTTCCCAACAGTGAGAGAAGGGGAGACTGTGTTTCCAAGGCAGACAGGGCACAGGGATACAAGCATGCACACACAAACATATACATTCTTTTATTTTTTAAAGTTGTAAGAGAAATATTGAAATAGGATGTGAATTTGGTCCCAAGATAACTTGGGCTCTGCTTTAATATTAACAGTGCATTTTCCAAAATCAATTAATGCAGAATTACCTTTTTGATCAAATAATAATGCTGACGAGAGAGAAGTGTCTTATCTGATCTGCTGTGAGTGGTATACAGGGTGCAAACAGAACTCACTATAGGCGTCTTCAGAAGAACCCACCTTCATGCTTCCTACGTGCTTTTTGTTAATAAACTTTTCCCGTTTGTGTCCAAATTATCTTTGACTATAACATTTTTAGCATTTTCTTCCTTTTATTAGATCTTTACTAAACAGTTGCATAAAAGAGAAACACAAAACTTAACCAAACTGATGTTCAAAATATGATTTCAATATGTGCATAATGTAAATAAGTAAGATTTATTTTTACAGCTACTCATTTAATCTACCTGACTAAAAAGACATCCCAGTAACCACAGGTCTTTAAAATGAACAATCTTTGTTATGTGTTATGAGAGAAAGAGAAAAGGAAAGTGGCTTCGTAATGACATATTAGGATAAAGGGATCTACACAGATTTGACGTGTTCTTTCTTTATTTACTTTAATCCAATGTAATAACTCAGTAGCCAGATGATTAATAGGCACAGGCCACACCACCGTTAGAAAAGAGGCTTCTAGAAACTGAAATCACGGAATGCTGTAGTACTCAAGGTGTTTATGCAGCGCACTGTCAGACTTCCAGTGATATACGGAAAAGGGTTAAAAGCAGATGCATCTGAACTGTACTGTGGCAAACTGCCAGGAGGGTATCATCTTTAGCATAAATGATGACAAGGGTTACTTTAACAGGGCACCCAGGATCCCCAATTAGTCCTATAACATTAATGCCTCTATAAGGCTCTGCCCTCTGGACTCACAGAATCCTACCAACTTCTGGAGATTTCTAATGCACACCAACCAGAGCTAAAAATCAGGATTTCCTACTGACACCAGTGATGCCCTTTAAAAAAAGCTCATTTTCTTGTTTATGCTGAACAAAAGCCGGCAGTTAAACAGCTACATATTTTTACATGTGCATCTTCACCAAAGCCTTAGTGAACTGTTCACTAGAGATTCTAGCTCTGACAAATAAACCCCTTTAGGTTTACTTAGAAAAGCTCACAAACTCATTCGAAGGTACCCAACAGGCTAGGCATGAAAAACAAGCCGCAGAGCTTGCCAATATTCTTGTCATTCATTCATCTGTTTTATACCAGAGAGAGAACCTGTCAGGGATCAGAAGAAGACTTGGGAAGACCACAGCAAAAATAGCAACATGCGAACTGGTGATTTCTTCCTTGGCTTGAAGGTACTTTGGCATAATTTCCTAAACAAATAAACAAAACACCCAACCTCTTTTTCTTAAGTAGTGCTTTCTCATCTCAGCCACAATTTTTATCTAGCACCTGTCAAACAGAAACTATGTACATGAAAAATAAAAGAAAAAAAAAAAAAAAACACCACCACCAAAAAGCTTTAGTAATTTTGTTGTTTGAAGCAAGCTGAGAACCTTCTACAATTAAACTAAATTTTAAAATAAGTCACTATGAAAGCAATGTTTAAAAAAAAATTTGAGCAGGAAGTGAAATTACTGTACTTTGGTTTCTCCTCCCCCTGTTCTGATGGCTTCAAAGAGTTGGGTTAGTACAACAAAAACATACGCATTGATTTTTCCTCTTACAGAATGATACAGACGTGTTCTACTATATGCTCCCTAGACATATGAAAATTAACTATAGGCTTTACAAACTGTTGAAACATACCGGATTTACTTTGGACTTTTATTTAGAGATACCCTATAGATAATTAAGGTGGCTACTGATAAAGTGACAATAGAATCATTTAATTAAAAATCTAGCTGCTAAACCTTCTAGCAAACTTGTCACCCTTGTCTTCCTGATACTGTGAGTAATGCTGAACAGGAGCCTTCTCTGAACTGTCTGATTATTTGTGCTAGTGTTTGGCAAGACTTCCAACTACAGCAACTTCATAACCTTCCAGCATTAAAAGGGGAGTGCACTGGTCACTGCTGAATGCTAAAAATACCACATGATTTAAACCTGGAGGCAGTCTTAGAAGCTTTTGCTGAAGGTTTATGAGCCTGTGTAAACAGCACGTCTGCCATAAGGAGCAGTGAAGTCTGTAGAATCCTTGTCTAAAACTGTCCTGGCATTAAAGTTTGCTGTGCAAATATCACATAATACCAGAGACAGCTGAAATCTCCTATTTAGGAATTTATGGAACTTATATGTTTGCAGGCGTCAGAAAGTCTTTTTTATAGAGCCCCAGTGCTTCACAGTACAATATTAATGCACTCAGTTTGAAAAGCCGTAATAAATTATATTTTTAATGCTCTTACCCTGGCTTTCTTAAGATGCATACATTCTTGGCAAACAATCAATAAATAGGGTAATCATGAGTAGAGGCCAAAGAATTTGCTGAAGTGCTGTTTTTCCATTTTTAATAGATAAAGATCTAACAATACGGACTGCTGTGTCTGTTCATTTCAGGATCAATATATTCTTTGTTTTCGCCAAACCAAGAAAAAAATAAATGATTGTATGATAAATGTTATGCATCAAACACAATGAAATTCCTCTGCCTTCTAACTTTATCTACTTAATATTCTTGGTTGCTAAAAGATGGCATTTTTATCCTTCGCTTAGCAAATGTAAGGAAAATCTGAATCCTAAACACAGTTATTCAGAGACAAAATAAAGACTATTATGAGACACACACGTTATACCCAGTATAGGCACTGATCTACATAAATAGCAGTGCTGAACACAAAGTTGTTAAACTTCATCAATTTTATATAAAATTGGTAGAGTCACACGGTTACACATCTTCCCTTTATAAACTTGCCTGAGTTTGCCCTTCCTTTATCAAAAATACTCCACTGTAGCAAAAACCATAAACTAGAATCATCAGGTTTTTCACTACTAAATAATAAATTTGCTCTTAAGAAAACAAACCATAAAATAGGACATCGCAAAATTTCAACATCGTATCACATAAGATTCCCGTTATCTCTGAAAATGACTTACAACTAATAATCCTCTGAAAAAAGCTAAGGCAGTCCTCAAACAATCTAAGTGTCTTATTCTTAATTGGGGTTAGTTTAAGCAACAGCCACCTACGTATCCTCTACCACACTAACACCTTATCAATGGAAGCCTTGTGTAATGAAAGCCATTATATTTCACTCAGTCCTTATCATCCAAACACCCAATGACTCCAGTCTATATAGTAGGGTAAGGTGCTCCACTCAAGCCCAGAGCCCACACTTTCTAAGCATGACTGACACTGCAGCGTGGAATGGAACTAATTTCACATCAGAAAGGGAATCAAGGAAAAGAATATACAAAGACATGTTCTGCTCTCTACCCCCCACACAAAGTGGCCTTGAGTAGACACAAGGGCTTGCAGCTTTCCAGGATTTGGCTCGAAGGTATTTACCTTTCCTAAGGTTGGTTTTCATCAGATGGCCCGAGTGTTTTAAAGGCACTCCCTGCATTTTTGCACCTGTGCTCCCAAGCCTTCCTCTTCCTAGTGGGCTCCCGTTCTGCTCCAGGCGGGCAATCTTGGCTGGTGGACCCTTCGGATCGCTCACATTGTTAGACATGTCTGAATGTTCTTTCCCCTGAGGTGCCTCGTTCAAATGATCCATACTCAGTTACCCTCTAAAGATCACCTGCCAGAATTTAAAAAGAAGACATGTTATAATTGGGTGGGGGAATCTCTCTCTCTCTCTTTCCCCCTTATGTAATATATGATATACGGAGCAAATATTTTATCTGTAGCTATTTCTCTCCACAAACATAACATACTTGTAAAACTGCTTAACTAGATAAATCATATAATGCAGATATTACTATGTTTTTAGACAACAGTATTACATTTCCATTCAAGTTAACAGAATAATTTGTGGAAACTATAGCCACGCACATTAGAATAAAAAGGTGATCTGTCACCTGCCAACAAAACTAAGTTGGGAGAAATGGGCTTACTTTTAGAACAAGAATTACCACAAGTGTAGTTAAAAAGAAAACAACATATTTCTGTAGTCCCAATTTTTAAAAATTAGAAACTCATTACAGAACATAATAGTACCCTTTAATCAAGAATGGGAAGATTATCATAGTCCAAAATATTAATTAAATCTGAAGTGCATGTTTACATTTTTACATATAGTTTAATTCTCATGAGGAAAATATGTGTGTGTATATATATATATATATATATATATATATATATATATATATACACACATACACTACCTCAAAAGAAGGTAGCAAGTAACTGCTTTTTGAACACCTCATTGGTTTTACAGGTTAATTCACAGAAAAAGTTTTCTACTGTTTAAGTTTCAAGAATTACATGGCCTTTTAAAGATCTAATCCAGTCCTGCCTCAAACATGTGATTGGATCACATCACTCTTAAGAAAATGGAAAGAAATGTAGGATTTCTTCTAATATCCCAGATGCTGAGCATTCCAACCTATGTGTTTTAGCGCTGATATTTAGGTGTCCCTTAAATAACAGAATACTGTTAACAACTTAAATAGCAAAAAACTTGAAAGTACTTTGTGATATACATATTAGATTGAAGTGCCAAACTCACTTTTTAAAAAAATCTTGATGATTTTGGTAAAACACAATAACTAACATTTAAAAATAATGTTGGTACCCAATGAAGTCAACATCTTAACTGACTTCAGAAAAAATATAAAAGATAATTGTTTTCAGTTATAAATATTAAAATTCATGTCCAATGTATAATAAAGTAATTAGTACAATATCAAAGTCACTTCTAAAATGCAGTTTTAACTGCAACTGGTAAGAGCAGGTTCGGTAGAATTATTTTCTAAACTTTCATGGTACTTTATGGAGCTCCCCAATATCCAGCTCTCTGGTAATTCAACATATCTTGTACTTAAAATATATATATATATATTATACCAAAGAAGCTATTGAGATCTGTTTGTTGAAAGTCAGTTTGTATTAGCATGGCCTTTCTGTAAGCATTTTTTCCCCCTGTTTAACCATAGATTACTTTGCCCATTATAATCAAGCAAAGAAGTGAAGGGGGTGGAGGGAAGCAATGGTAATCTGTAGGCTTAAAAGCAACCTTAAGAAAGCCAATCGAAGAACTATAAAGTTTGAGAAATAATGGCTATTTATCCTTGTACTCTAGGGTGGCACGCTGAGAACTAAAGGTTTACCGTTGATCGAGGTCCCATCTGTTTTTGGTTATGAGGTTCATTAACAATAAATGTTCCTCTTTTAACCACTTTTTATCAAGATTACTCTTTTCCATTATATTAAACTACAGTCTAAAGTCAAAATTAGAGAGCGATGATTATTAACTTATCCAAAACACTGCTTATAAGGTTTCGTGTAGATTAAAATACGGAGCTGCTTTTTCTGAAATTGGTTGCCTTACCCTAGAGCAGAAGATGAATTTTAAAACATATGATTTGAAAAGAAAATACTTAACCCGTGGGGCAATTTGAGAAAAAAAGAGGGGTGGTGGTGGTGGTGGTGGTGGTGGTGGTGGTGGAGTAGACAACAGCATCAAAGTTAATGCTACAAAACATATTAAGTAGTCATGAGGCTTAGCAGCATTATAAGCTGTACAGCAAATGAAAGTGATAGATTATAATTTAGTTAATGTATTGACAATCAAAACATCATATAGGTCATGCAAAATTATCCCTCCAATACCCACCTAGAAGAGTCTATTAAACACTCAGTCATCTTGTAAAAAGCTTTACATTATAAAGCAAAATTACATGCACATAAAACACCCAATTTACTCATTTAAACTCTATGCCCAAGGCTAAAGTTCACCAAACCTCAGTTTGGTATTGCAAAGAGCAGCCTCCACGGGGCCTGCTGGACTGACAGCCTGGAAACTAACTACAGTCTCAACAGATGCCAAGCTGAAGAGTTTCTTTTTGAGTTACACATTTTAAAACGCCTTTTAGTGTAACGTCTGGTTGGCATACAGAATGCAGGCTACTTTCTCAAAATCCCATTTCCCTGTCCATAAAACCATGTCTATATATGATAATTACTGAATAAAACAGTGAACTCAGACACAGCTATTATTTCCTCCAAAAAGAAAAGGAAAAACATGAAATTCCAGTTTCAACAACCTATTTTTTTTTTTTTTTTTTTTTGCAATTTGGGATCTTTTCCAACGAGTTCCTGGCTGAATCGCCTCACTCGCCCCCAAAGAACCCCATAATCACATTTTAAGAGATTGTGCCCTTATCCATTCCATATGGCCGGCACGATCCAGGCCAAGCTTTCACTGTGACCTTTTAAAGAGACAAAGAAGCAAAGTACTATCTAGAAACAGAAACACTGCAGTTTTACTGAGTGAAATTAGCAAAACCGACCTGAAACTCACCACTTCAAAACTTGACAGCATATAAATAACAAAAACAAAGGAGATTTCCTTTGCAGCCCGGGTTCTTGAAGAGAAGTTCAAGACTGATGTTTTCTACGTCCTTTTTTTTTTTTTAATTTAAAAAAAAAAAAAAAAGCAGCAGACCTGAAGGCGACTTCCCCTGAAATTGTATTATTTTTCTCTTCCCCTACCCCCGCCCCCCTAAGCGGGGGAAGGGCAGAAATAAACGTCTAGAAGAGTAGCCATGGGAGAGGGGGTTAAAAAAAAAAAATCACAATTCGAAAAACAACATATATGGTTTGTAAAACGTCTAACCTCAGAGAACGGGGTTTTCGATGGGGGAGGAGGGGAGAGTGGGAAGTAGGGAGGAGGGAGAAGATAAAATTGATCTGACAAGTGATTCGTTGGGGGGAAAATCGTAAAAACAAAGCAAAACCCGTTATGAGCTGTACACTGTGGTGGTGCTGGGGAGGCGAGGTGGTGACTGAGGATTCTCTTAAAAAGAAGAAAAAAAAAAATCACTGCGGACAAGGTCTCCCAGAAACGGGGGGGGGGGGGGGGGGAGGTGCCCTCGCTTGCTTCCCTCCCTCCCTCCGTCCCTCCCGCCCGCCCGCTCGGGTTCTTCGGTGTGAGGACAGAAAGTCTACTTCTGGCTGTCACTTGCAGTATTATTCTCCGATAACCCCGGAGAACGCGGAGAGGGGAAGGCCACCTCGCCTCCCTCCCGATCGCCCCCACCCCCTCCCCAACAATTGCGACTAATGATTAACAAACCTTAAACTTTCTTCCCCCAGCCTCGCACCCCGCAACGAGGGCATCTACCGAGGGGCAGCGGGGGGGGGGGGCAGAAGGTCGCGGCTAGAGCCCCGGGAAGGCACTGAGATGCCACTTTTGGTTCGGCCCTCGCTGGTAGCAGCCCCGAGGACCCTCTCCCTGCCCATGGACGCGGGGCTGCGAGCGCCCGGGGAGCCGAGTGAGTAGGGGGGAGAGAGCGAGGGGTGGCGGGGCGGGGAGGGCCGGGGAGGGGAGGGGGAGGGGAGGGGAGCGGAGGGGGGCGGAGGGAGGGGGAGGGAATCGGAAGGCACCCCCGGCCGCCTCCACCGCCTCCGCAGCGACGAACTCCCCGCCCCCTCCCCCCCAAAAAGTCGCCGAGCTCTCACTCAGCCGGAGTCCGGGGTAAACAACGAGCACCACAATGGCACTGGGACTCGGGGGCGAGGCACCCGGGCGCCCCGGCAAACTGAGGAGGAGTTTCCCCGAAACGCAGGAGGGGCGGGGGCGGGGGGCGTCCTCCGCAGTCGCCCCGGCCTTATGCTCGGGCCCCGGGCCGGGCCGGAGGGCGGCTGTGGCCGTGGTGCCGCCGAGGCCGGTGGTGGCCGGGCGGCCCGGGGAGAGGTGTGTGCGTGTGTTTGTGTGTGCGTGCGTGTGAGCGCGAGTCCCCGGACGGGGCTGCTGCTCCCGCTCGCTCTCCCTCGCTCGCTCGCTCGCTCGCTCTCCCCCGCGCGGCCGGCTCTGCCCCCATTAAATCATCAGTTGACTCATCCCGGCCGCCGCCGCCGCCGCCGCCGCCGCCGCCGCCGCCGTGCCCAGCTCGGCTCCGCGCGTCCGCCCGGGCTGCAGCCCTCTGCGCCGCTGGTGCTGCCGCCGCCGCTGCTGCTGCTGCCGCCGCCGCCGCCGCTGTGGCTGCCGCTTCTTCCTCCTCCTCATTTTAATACAGAATCACCCCGCTCGCAGCCCCAGCCCCGAGCACGCAGCCTCCTCCCGGCCGCCCGCCGCCGCCCCGAGCCCTTCCCCAGCGGGGCCGGCTCCTCCGCCGCGTCCGGGGAGCGGGAGCGAGCGAGCAAGTGGCGGCGGCGGCGGCGGCGGCGGCGGCGGCGGAGGAGGAGGAGGGGGGGGAGGGAGAGGAGGAGGAGGAGGAGGAAGGGGTGCGGAGCGGAGGAGGAAGGCGACGGGGTGGGGTGGGGGGTGGGGGGGCAGGGTGCAAGGGGAAGGCGGAAAAGGGATGGGGATTAAAACCCGGGCTGGAGGGCCGGGATTGGGGGAGGGGGCGGGGGCGGCGAGTTAAAAAGCAGAAAGACAAGTAACTAGTGAATGAGTGAGGGAAGGGGTGGGGGGGGCGGGAGGGGGGGGGAGCGCACGATTTCCGGCCCCGGGCGCGCAAGAATTTGTAATGAGCTTGATTAGAGCGAGGCGGCCCGACATTTATTACACACAATACCCAGAATAACAGGGCGCCGCGCGAGGGCCAGCGCCGGCCGCCGCCAGGCGCGCCGGGGAGGGCGCGGAGGGGAGGGGAGGGGAGGAGAGGGGAGGGGAGGGGAGGGGCGGGAGAGGGGGCTTCCCTGGCAGCGGCCGCCGCGGCGGGGAGGGGAGGGGACGGGAGGGGAGGGGAGCGCGCGGCGCGCGGGCGGCAGGGGCAGGTGTGCGAGAGTGAGCTGCGCGGGAGGAGGGGCGCCGCCGGCGGGGGGGCGGGGGGCGGGGAGGAGGGGGCGCCGGCCGGGGGGCGGGGGGCGGGGGCCGCTAACCAACCACCCACGCGCGCAAAAGCCACCGAAAGGGGTAGGTCGGAGCGCCGCGGGCCGGCCCCCGGGGAGGGCGCGCGGGCCCCGCGGGAGAGGGCCCCGGGCGTGCAGGTGACCGGCTCGGGGTACCGAGGCAGGGGGCCCCGGGGAAGGGCCCGAGGGGGACACCGGGGGGCAGACCTCCCCCGAGCGGCGCGGAGGGTGCACAAACATTTGCACAGGCGTAAAGGCCGGGAGCCCTGAAGAGCTCTCGCGAATATTTATCCTCAAAGGAGGTAAAATCCCAAACTATTACGAGCCAGCGTTAAAAAAAAAAAAAAAAAAAAAAAGATGAGTAAGAGCTTTCTGTATCTAGTCAGGGGTAGGTTCAAAACTCCCTCACTTCTGAGCCATGAGCCACAGAACGAACACGCCGGAGGAAGAAATACGTGTGGCTCATAGTGGCGGATTCAAACGAGATTTGGGTCACTTGAAAGAGATCTGACTTGTTATTCACAAAGGACAAGACGCCACCATCCCTAAATTAATTTAGACCGGGTGCAAGAAAAGTTTGAGTTGGTGAATCCACCTGTCGTAACCATACAATGCTTCTGACATCTAGGGTAAGTTACCCCCAGTTAGGTGAACGGCCATTAGCACAGAACTATGATCCTCTTATTTAGATGATCTATTAAATACAGTTCCTATAAAAATGAAGAACATTACAATCTCATTAGAAACAGAGATGCAGCGTTTATCGCTTGGGTTTCAATACTAACATCTTAGAACCCTGAAGGCAGTTAATCATTAAACAAAAACAAAAATGTGGTAGGAATTATTTTTCAGAATGCACTAGTAGGGAAAAGAGAAAAATCAGTCAGATAAACGTTTTGTTACACATAAAAAAAAGCAACAAGTTAGCACAAGTACTGAGATAAGAGGGAAATATGCAAATTAAGCTCTTTAAAGCTACCAATACACTCTCAGAGACACTGTTTACATTAGAAATCTAAGGAAAGCAGAAGGTAAAGCAGGAGATAAAGTATAGGAAATAATGGCCTCCTGGGGAGAACAAGTTTAGGAGAAACACAATGAAAATATATCACTCTAATGGCACCTAAGTTTCACCCACAAACCGGAAAGGTTAGTCAAAATCGAGGAAGGCAACCGTGAATCTTGGCATATATAAACCCAAGCCTTGAGCAAAACGAAGAACATGTGATAATAAAACACAACATCAAAAACAAGAAAATATAAGGCAATCTTTACCAAGAGCCCAAATGACACCATATTTTTAAAAGCTGAAACGGGAAATGTGGAGGAGGATTTTTTTTTTAATTGAAGTATAAGAAACACAATCAATAAGAAAAAATACAAACATGGCAAAAATGTAGCACAGGTGTCCTAGTTGGTATTGTGGATGGAAGTACTCAAGCTTATTTTAGAAAGGTGTTTGGTATTTTAAAGGAAAACATAGGTCACCAGTTATCAATGATCTCCATGGCAATGATAGGTTAAATTAGGAGTTTGCAAAGACGTATATTTTAAGATTTGCTTCAAACTGGTGATGCCTGACATGTTCCCCACTAACCTGCTTGGTTTTCGGTAGGAACAGTGCATTCTAGTATGCTGTGCAAATTGACAAATAGCAGCAAAATTTTTTTTAAAAAATACAAAAACTTTAGTGGACTACGAAACAAAATTTATCCATGCAACTTTTATCCAGAAATTACAAGCTGATTCTTAAACATGACCTAAGTTTGTAATAAGGATGGGACATGGCCTGGGAAAATGATTAAATAAATGAGGATAGAGACATCTAATAATGACTTTATTATAAAGAATACTGAGACAGTACAATTACGTATATATTAATCACGTATATATGCTGATTTTCCCTCAAGTATATTCTTTATTTCAGAAGTATATAAGAAATGACATAAGTAAAATGACACACGAAGGTTTATGCCCTCCAAGTGATGAACTTATTTACTATATATTATCTCCCTCTTTAGAATAGTCGTTATAACCACTGAGCATTGGTCAATATAAATCCAGGTTAAAATAAAGAAGAGAAACAGATAATGAGAAAAAATATCACCCTCCTACGCATATGTGAGGATAAACTATTATGGTGGAGGGGCAAAGACTTTGATAAATTCTATTCAGGCATCTTATATTTGGCAATAAAGATGCAAGTGTTGAAAAAAAAAGTTAAACTTTATAAATCTAGCTATCAAAATAGAAAACCTCAGGAACATGAAATATTGCAAGTCAAATACATGAACTATTTAACATGTGGATGTACAGTTAAAACAGTGCATCAATTTTTAATCACATGAGAAGGCATTCAAACGGGCCACACAAAGGTAGCAAAGATAAAACATTGTAAAGATACACAGGATTTAAAAAAAAAAAAACTTAATAATGAGAGGACTACTGCATATTTCAGATGGCACCATATTAAGATAAATATGCAGGCAGATATCCGAAAGCATTAAAACACATTCAGAGTTCTGAATAGCACATACATTTGTAATACACAGAGAAAGCATTTAGAATTTGAACGCTTTTAAGATATGGCAACTCCGCCAGTGACTGTGTTAGCAAAGCAATGCTTACCACCATAGCACTTTCTAAGGACATGTTTTGTTTTGTTTTTTCATCTTTTTAAATTCAAATACAGTTGGCTATCTCTCTACACTCTTAGAGCAGCACAATTTACGTAGCATATTGCTCTTTTTATCATGTCAACTCTTTGTTTTTTGGCGTTAGCTGCAGGTGGTGTTTTCCATATATGAATTTCTGGGAATATGGTCTGTGTTGGCCATATAAGGATGTCTAGTTGAGCCATATGTTTTGCTGTCATGTGTCTCATTTTGTCTGTCTGGAATGTCAGGACTGATTTCCACATCGTTTCTTGAATGGACCAAATACAAATTTGTAAGAACAGAGAGGAAAAAAAGTGGGGCTGGAACTCAAACAACTTTGTCAAAACATATATTGGAGAGGAAATGCAATATCCTGTAAACATTTGC